TGAAGTAGTGAACCGATCCTTGTGCTCAGTGAGTAGTATCTTATCAGTGCTGTACCTTTTTGTATTTTTTGTGAAGGTCAAAGCCAGTGATGTACTAGACTCTTTCCGTACCCTTGCTGGTGATTCTTCGAATGCATTCTGTTCAAGAGAGTCTTGATCTTCCCTCTGTACTTCTATTCGTTTCTCAGAGTCAGAATCTGTATGATCAGTACTTTTCGGGCTGCCAATGCTGTCGCTGCAAATACTTATTGATGTGCTCAGTTCACTGCTTGTGGAAGACCTACTGCTCCGTCTTCTGAGCCTTTGGTGACCAGGGTTGTCTTTCATCAAGGATGGAGAGACATCCAAAGCTTTCTTGGGATCAAAGCACTCATTTCTGTTTTGTTTCCATGAACTTTCCCGGCTCTTGTCAGCACGAATCCTCCCCTTGCACTCTTTAGTGTATGTGTACTTGCAACGAATACTCTGGCTGAGACGTCCCTGACTGGCTATCTTCACAGGCTCACAGTCATCATCTGAGTCAGAAACGTAATCATACTCCCTGAAAGTAGGGTTCTGCACTGCAGGAGTCACTCTCTCCATCACAAGTGAAAACTGCATGTTTTTGGTGCCCTTCACATGGAGTTTATGCAACTTGTTCTTTTGTTGAACAATTTTGTGAATAAGTTCTTTACTCCAGCTTCCGCCACCTGTCCTCTTCCTTTTTCCTTCTGTTGGTATCGGTTTCTGAGCTGTTGGACTTTTACTGGCACAGGTGGATGTTGTTTTAACTAATGCTGTGCTACTCTGCAAGCTTTTAAGTCCACATCTTGCAGAAAACTTGCTTGATAGAAGAAACTTGGAACTGTAATCATTTTCCTCTTCTCTTTGCTCTGACTTTCTTGTTTCCCACTCAATTTGTGTGCAGTTTGACTCCTGTGACTGGGACTCTTTTGGAGAGGTTTCTGATTTGAGGACTTCCTTCTGTATCAACTCATGTTGGCTTTCTTTGAAAGAGCTGTCTGTGAGTTTGCTGTGTGAACTAAGGCTGTCTGAGTCAAAAGGATATTTGCTGTGAGCTTGAGATCTCTCACTGGATGTTGATTCATTGTTTGTTCTACCTTCAAATGTTGTGGAGTCTTTGGCAGTCAAAGTCTGTCTTGTTGATGTGCATTTAGTAGTGGTGAGATCATCATCAACAAATGCATCAATAAAGCTGCTATCAATCTCTGCATTGTCTGACTGATAGCCTAGTCCATTCAAAGCCTCTGTGATAAGGCTATCCAATTTGGGATCTTCCATTTCTAAATCCGGCAGGGGTGCAGATGGTAAGATCAGTTTCATTGGATCATCTTTTATATCTCCTTTGGTTTCATTATCTGAAACTATTTCCCCATTCTTGTTTAGTCCAAGCAGAGACAGATGCAAATCTGAAGAACTCCGCAAAATTGTGTAACTGGATCCAGATGACATGGCTTTTGTGTGGTCCGTCTGAAACTTCCTTATGTCTTCCACTTTTGGCACATCTTTAAAATCATTTTGTGCAAATGTATGCTGTCCACAGTATTGCTTATGGTCAAGAAAAGAGACAAGGTTATTAAAATTCTGATCACATTGCTTGCATGTCAAAAGCACATCCAGTTGGTCAAGGTTTGCTGAGACTAATGATGTGGCGAGTTGGTGGGCAGAATACGGAGGTGGGGGATGGTTTTCTGTTCTGTAGGTCTCCAGACAACCTTTCCCATTGTCCATGTTGGACTTTGAATGCCTGTTATGTGGCATGAAACTTGCAATGTTCTCTTTGGTTTTTTCTTGTTTATAGTGCAAGCCTCTGGATGCTTCTGAATGGTAGTGATGCTGGTTGGTGTTCATGTTACTAGATGATATCAATGCCTTATCCTGTTGCTGCTGATAAAACTGAGGGGACAGAACCTTTGAAATTTGGCTGTCATCAGAGTTACTGTTGACAGAGTTTGTGGAGGCTGGGGAGAGTGATGAACATGTACTGCTAGATGCTGGATTTTGAGTAGGTGAATGTGAAGGAGAGTCATATGGTGACACCATCTTCAGCCCTAAGGGTGCTACATGTAACGGAGGGTAGCTACAGTTTCTTGATGATGTCACTGGCACTGAGTGGTTAATACCAAAGTATAATGACTTATTCTTGGCATCACCCACCTGACCTTGATTTGTATCTACCTTGTTTGTAAAATGACAGGGTGGAATTGTGTTGCAGCCTTGCTTGACACTGTCCTGCCTTTGGTTTGAGAAGCCCTCATTTGTATTTTTGTTGAGAAAGTTATTCGAATCTTTCTGGTTGCTGTTTTTGTGTGGCTTATTATCTTGCCAGTCTGATGGGCCTATCAAAAAAGTAAGCTGTTGATTGCTCAGTTGCCTGGAAAGATCAATCCTGTTTTGGTTTGGCATGGCAGTTGTGAAGCGTATCTGCTGCCAAGGCATACGGCCATTATTGCCGTTTGGTCTCTGTTCTGGTGCTGGTTGGTACTGAAAGGGGTAAGGTGTAGGAGTCTGGTCTATGAGTGGTGGTGGAAAGGCTTTGTTTGGTCCTTCCCATGGGTGTGATACCCTGACATGGTGTTTACTTACACTTTTATCAAGAGGCCCTGGGCTGATGTGAATACCATTATGTGGAGGGCTAATTACATGTATTTGGGAACTTGAACCTTGTGCAATATTCCGAATATGATGAACACTGCCTTGAATAAGAACTCTCTGGCTGGTGGTGCCATTTTTAAGATGGCAGCCTCTCTTGCCCACTACCGCAAAGCCTGTGTCCCTGTTGTCTACTGGACTAAAAGAATCAGATTTATCTGAAACACTTTTACTCTGCTCTGATTGGCGAGTGCTTGATACTGAGCTCTCATCATTGCTAGGAACAGATGATGACACACCATGTTGTGTCTGTATGTACTGGGGTGGTTTAGGGTGTAACTGGTATGACTGCCTGTCCTCTACCTGATCATTACCAAACTGTACATTACTTTGCATGGCCTCATGTCCCTCTGCAGAGGATGGAAAGGAAAATGAATTATGAGAAACCTGGTTAGGGGCAACAGCAATATCAATGTAATCTTGAGACTGTGCATTTCGATCACAGGGAAAGGAATCAGAGGCTGACTCCTCTAACAATGGGTATCCATACTGAAATTGCATGGGTATAAAACTAGCATTGGTCTTGTTCAAGTCCACAAGGTTGTTTGGCTTTTGTGAATTAAGGCCAAAACTATTGTTTCTGAAAGTCCTATCTGAAGACTGCCATGTGTCTGTTTCGCTCAGTTGAAAGTCAGGGAATAAAGTTTCATTGGCAGGTTGTGTGCTATTGCTCTCGATTGGGCTGGGCTTCTGTTGCAGTTGTGGTGGATTTTGGTGAGCAGGTCCTCCACAGGGGGCGCCAACAGCCTGTGAGGTATAGCTTTGGGAAGTAAGGTTAGGCGAGCCCTCCTGGAAACATCTGAACTGTAGTTCTTCCTGCTGCAGTTCAGCCTCTCGCTCTGGAATACTAGGTACATGGAAGCGGTAGCTGCCTGAGACAGGACCCCTGCTAGACTCAATCTTCTTTGGAGGTGAGATTTTCTGCTGGGGATAGGCTATCCCAATTGTGGGATTTGAGCGTGGGTTTGTAATACTCAGTCTGTACAACTGCTGCGGGTTGCCACGCTCTCCTTTTCCTGACTTTTTACTCTTGTCTCTATTGCGACTCTTTCCACTAGGCGACTGAGGGCTGTCCTTGACGCTGGGCCACGTCCTGTTGCTATTGAATGAATGATTTTGCAGTGACTTAAAATCAATCTTTCCAGCCTGCTGTGGCCGAATCACAGCCTCACGTTGCTGCGTGTTGTCTCTCTCTTTTTCTGCAAACTTAGCAAGATTGTTCACAGCCTGTGGCTCCAGACTCACATTGTGAAAGTGCTCAGGGGACTTTTTTAAGCTTTTATGCTCCACAGCCCCCTTATCCTGTTTTTTGGACTCATTATCCAGCTCTTTGGCAGCCAAGGGCTGTTTAGTCTCTTCAGTCATGATGCCGGTGTGGATAGTTTAGCACACTGGTCCTTATCTGTGCAGGCTGCGACATGGACACATTGTGTTCCAGTCAGAATCAATAGGCCTGCGGTAGCAGAAGTTCAAAGCACAGGATTATTTTCTCTCTTCCTTATCTCTTTATTTCCCTAATGATGGAATGTTCATCTGTCATCTTGATGTTCTGAAAATAGAAGAGAGAGGATAAGAAAATGTCAGTTTTCACTTTAGATAATATTTCATTAACATATGTAACGTAAAAATGTCACATTATCAAAATATGCTATACTGCTCAGTCATTATTAATAAATTGTAATTACACATGAAAGCAATCATTCGGGTGGAAAAATGTTTATTTTGTAGCACTGGGAAATAGACTGAGACCAAGAAATTCCACTTCACACCTAAAGAGGGCAGAATCGCATCAATTTTGGCACACACAGTAGGCCTACACTTCATTCCCATAAATCAACAAGAATGCAAATTAAAGCATGAAACTGTACACAAAATGTACCACACTAGTTACTATGACATAAAAATCTCAGTGAAAAGACATTTAATTGTGTATGACCTATTTTGGGTGCTCCAGACATTGCTTATAGTCCGGTTTACTTTGGCTAAGTGTGTTTTGGCTGTGGACAGACTATAAGCAGCTGAGAGTTTGGCAGCAAAGTGTTATTTCTCTGCTTGGAAAATCTATGTATACAAGTGCCTTTTAACTGCGTACTTTCAGCAGCTGACCCTAGAAAATAGTTATATGTCCAGAAAGACTATAAGTGCCTTTTGCTTTAAGGCCATTTGGGGATGGAGGGATAAACAATCACAGGTCAATACTTGCCTCTCGTTCTTTCAATTGCACATCCACATAAGTAAAAGCAGTGGGAAAATATGTGTACAGATGTGACCTATGGAAATTATGTGGAAAATAACTCTTTTTGCATTTTACTTTTTATTGGATTGTTTTTTTTCCTGTTTTCTCCTAGAGGCAACACATTCTGGACCAAAACCCACAACCTGATCACGTGATTTATTCTTCCCTGTGGCACACATGACCCAGCATCCATAATGGCATGGTACAAGAACAAAATTAAAGAGCACTAACAATATATCTGCGTAATGTGGCATAAAAGTGGGAAATGTCGGTCAAGCTACTTTTCCTCCCTCACTTTCACTTGTCACCCTAACCTTTCATCTCATTCATACCTCCCACAAGTAAGTGCACTGCTGTATATAATTCAGAAATGGGTTGTACTGCAACTTGCACAAGACAAAAGACTGTAATCGATCTCGACATCTATTTACTTCGATCTTACAAGCCAATACATTACCTTTGGCTTCTCACAGATTTCTTCCACAATCACGTTTTTTTTTCCCTGTCAAATTTAATATGCTTTGTATATGCAGTGCAATCAACTTGTGTTTCCTTGACTTGGCCACAGGCTACAGCACTGGGCTCATCTTTTGATAAAATAGTCAGGTATGAGAGCTCTGCTATGACTCGTTTTAAAACATGTGAACTACGCATTACATTTCTTTTGAAGCAAATGGGGCATTTTGACAGACAGGCAATTCATAATGTTGAGTGTACAGTGAATATTTCACTGGTAAAGTATGACAGCATGACTAATAAGGGTGTGGCACAACATACCTCGCCTAAGAACAAACCCCTGAAGCACTCTGTTAAAAATAAAAAATAAATTACACACATTGAGTCCTAAGAGCCACTGATCTTAGTATCCAATTGGCAGAGAAGCCTGGAAATAATAGTCTCCACTGTTTCACCACTGAGAAAGGACCTTTAGCGATGGTTGCTCTTGCCCAAGCATATCACTCTCTGCTATTTCATAAATAGTAAGCCCATTTAAGAATACTGAAGAGAGTAAAGGAGTGAAACTTCCACAGAAGATGCAGCTACAAATGTACTTGTTTTCGGAGATTTTAATATAAATTGGTTAGATAAGCGTTGTAGACAAAAGCTTAAGGATCTAACCTCAAAATATGATTATCGACAGATGATTAGTGGACCCACTCGTATTAGTCGGAAAACACAAACATTGATAGATTTGGTATTTACGAATAAACCTGAACGTATAACAAAAACGTATAATTTAGTTTGTGGTTTGTCTGATCATAATATGGTATTAATTGCTAGAAAACAAAAAAAAAAACGATTAGTAAGGTATCATAATAATCATGATGGATTAGTAAAATTTGAGATTCCTCGTAAAGACCAGGCTGAATTTGAGAAGGAATTAATGGCAATAAGTTTTACAACATAATCATGTAAATAAATGTTGTGATGAATTTATGATTCATATCAGTCGTAGATAAATTTATTAAATGTCGGAAGAAATCATATAGAAAAATACAGCTTCCTTGGATAAATGATACGATACGTCAATTAATGAAACAGAGATTATGCCTTAAATACTTTTCTTAAAACTAGACATGAAATAGACTTGCAGCTGTTTAAAGCATTTAGAAATCGACAAATACAAGATTTTGAGCTTTGCTCACTTTGTCTTTTTTCATTATGTAAAGTTTGTGTTTAAATGTTTAAATGGTCTTGCTCCTATGCCTTTATGTACATTTTTCGAGAGATTGCAGGGAAGCAGTAGATCCACTAGAGCGGCTTCTAGTGGAAACTGTAAAGTTATACATTGTAAAACATCATTTGCTCAGACTGTTCTCTCAGTGAAAGGTGTAAAATTTTGGAATTCATTGCCTGACTATTTAAAATCTACTGTAAATTTTATTTTTTTTAAGAAGGCCACGAAATCTTGGTTGATACATCAACAAACCTGCAGTCATGTTTAGTGTATTTATATTATAAATTTGTGCATTACTTGTTTATTGTAATTTATAAAAGCCCTCCTAGGGACAAGTGTTGCAAATTAGCTTCGGCTACAAGCACTATGGTACATGCATGGGATGATTGTTTTTTACATTTTCATCTATGTTTATTGTATCTGTCCCTAACAAATAAAACATTAAATAAATAAATTAGACAACTATAACTGTGACTATTTTACAATTTTGCCTGCTTTAGGACTGTTCTTACCTTGGGCTACAGAAAACCTGAGGCTTAATAGCTCAAAATCAACATACTTATTTCCGTACATCCCTACTTACGTCCATCTTAATATTTCAAGCATAACATAAATTAACCCAAAGTTGATTTTGGAAGGAATGTACTTTAGGACTCAACTAAATTCTTCTTTTACAAATCAATTCATATGTAAATTCTGAAAATGAAAAAAATAAATTAAAAACCCTGTTTCAGATGTGTCTTATGACTGACTAGTGCATCAAGTTAATATCCTGCAATGTTATATAAAAAAAGCACAACAGTTGAAAATCTCAGATAAATCTGTTACACTGAATGGCTATGTTTTCTTCAACTCTTTCGGTGTCATCCTTCTCAAAGGCTATCTCTTCTATCCTGTCGTCCACCTGGCTCTGGTATTTAGCAGGTTGGTCTGGAGTCCGAGCCCTGCCTAGGTTTGGATCTGGCTGTGAAAAGTCACATCCCCCCTCCAGCTCCTGTCATAGTCAAAGCTGGAGTGTCTGATCGTTTCCCCGCGGCCTGAAGGATGACTCAACTCCACTCGACTGCTGGGAGCACCCTGCAGAGGCTAAGCTCGATCTGGCCGGGAGCCATACATCACGTCTCCCTCTGTGTTTGCCCAGGCCAGCCAGCCCCCTGGAATGGCCACAGAGGGGAACACAAGCTGACAGTGACAACAAAGACCGAAGTTGCAGGACTCACATGAGCCTACTAGAAGTATCACCAAAGCCAGAGCTGTCAGCATACAAAGAACATGGAGTCATTTATATCCTCACAACTGTCAGTTCGACTTCCCCACCCTATCGCTACTCTTCCTGTAGCCAGTCCTCGCCACACGCAGACCATGAATTAATGCACTTATCCATCCATACACTATTTGAAGTGCATATTTGGTGAAACTTTAGCTCTGGTAAGCCAACTTTGTTTTTTTGTTTTTACTCATGAAAGATTAAAGTTTATGAGAAATTGGCCAGGAAATAAAGAGTGCCCGTCGCACATTTCATTGCAAAGTATGACTTGATATCAAATTCCGTGAGAGTTGTCTGAAAATGGCTTCATAAAACAGCATTTTAGGCAGTTTTATAAGTCAATTAAGGCAAGCTTGTGTGTTTCACAGCCTGCGTGTCAAATCAGCCTGCCCACACACTACCAAAAGCTCCATATGGTTGTACCACACGCGCACCCACACAAAGCTCAGGGCGGAGGGAAAGTTCTGTTTGTTTGTACGTCACATTGAATACATAAACATATTTTGGCATGTGAACACAATCTCAAATTATTATTATTAATTATTTGGTGTGTTTTCCTCATTTAAGCTGTAACAGTTAAATGTCTTTGAGAAAACCTTAATTTCCTAAGATACATTTTTCTCCTCCCACCCCACACAGGATGTACTGTATGTGGTCTGAATCACAATGAAAACACACAGTTTAACACCTCTGAGAAAATATCATGTCAGATATCATCTCCAATTAAACCTCCATTAGTCCTATTCTGTCTCTTTCCCTTGGCAATCCGTCTATTAATTACAGCATATGGAACCCAAGCAATTACCTGCCCATTACTTGGGCGTAAATGAATTATAAATCGTCTTTATAACCTTGAGGTGTGACCTCTTGGGGTCTGAAATGATTTGTTTGTTACTGATGGTATTGATTTTACTCCTGTGTGCAACTATCAGACTAAATTCTGATAAATGTACACATGATTCACGCCTGATACAGCGCACCCTGATTTCCCAGCCAGCACTTGAGAACAATGTTACAGAAAGCCAAAACTATCATTTCTTTTCCACTAAGAAGGAAAACACTGGCATTAGCCAAAGTCTTACACAAAATACAAAGAAGCTGACAAGAAACCTACAGTGAGTGTCCATCATTTATGCTTTCACACATGCACACCGTAGATTTATTTCTACACAAGTACCTCCACATGTAGGCTCTGTTCCAAAAACCAGTGTGCTGCCTACATAGAACCAGTGACTAATTTAAAATGCTCTACAAAAGGTACCAAACCTGTGCATCATATTCAATATAAATTGTGCTATTCACAGGAAACATAGACTTGACAATCTAATGTTGATTTAACTATGGTGATTTTTAAGTAGCCTAATAAAATTTTTAGCATTGAGTTAATCAACATTTCATTGCTCCACTTCGCTCTGTAGTGTATCAGAGCCATAAACTCTTTGCCATTTACTGGATGCTCTGCAGGGGTTCAGCTGGCATTTTTAGGAATGGTGAGCAGGCTTCCAGACAAAGCTCCAAAAACAAAGAAGGGTCCATCTGGGATAGCGCTGCTCAAGACGGCACATCCTCTAGAATCCTGCACCTTTAAACACAAAGGCTCCTTGTATCTCCCTGTAAGCCAATAAGGAGTGTTGGGTGGCCTCCCTGACACTGTTGGCTTTTTCCAGATGCTCACTGTGGTAAAAGATCTCCTCGAAGAGAAGGGGAAAGACAAAGACAACAGAAAGAAAATCTAAAAAGCTGCGAGGATTATGAAAGACCCTCATGGGATGATGGGATTGCCTCTCATCTCACAGGTAGCAGCTAAATCGCTTTAAGTCTGCTCACGCCAAAAACACAACAACTGGCTAAAGGATTGCCAGCATTTACACCCACACACCTGGTGCTCTGCCTGAAAAGTGGACTATTAGCCAGACCGACCTTCAAAAGAATCAGCTCTCTTTAAAATATTTTGAAAACATCCATTAAGCAATTTGCTTGAGTTTTTAGACCCATGCTAAAGTCAACAATGAGAGGCGGCACTTTTCAGTATCCTGCAAGCATTTTAATGTGAATTAACAAGTATAATTCTTCATGACACTTAAAAATAACTCTCATTTGGTAAAATTGATGTGTTTTATATGCAGATATTAAAGAACTTTAATAGCAGCTTGGAAAGTAAACACAGCTGCAGTAGCTCGCAAACCCATTTATTTTTAGCTTTTGCCATGCACGATAGCTGATGGGTACCAGAAGGAAGTATATCAGATTTGATCCCTCTCTCAGTCATGGAGGTT